CTCTTCCTCATCTTCTGCCGGCGGCTGTGGCGTGCGAGACCTTAATAACAAACAGACATAATCCGATTTTTGGAAAGAAATGTAATTATTCATTGGCTGCCAAGAATTTTCAGAGCAGTGCACTACACTTGAGAATTTCTGCTAACTTTTCAAGTGTACCAGAATATTATAATGAGACTTTATACAATACTACTACTAAAAGAGTAGACAATCTCCCTTCAATAGGAAAACAGTTTATATCTTTTTCTGTTCTTTAGTATTCTGCAGTTGAAGACAGTAGGAGTTAAACTGATTAGTCTACTTCATTGGCATTTGGACTGATTTTTCAAGTCCCGTCGCTCATAACAGTGTGCTCAATGAATATACAGTTTAGACACCGAATCTGCCAAACCAAGAATAGGCTGCTCTTTTCTCCCAGAAGAGAAGACTGATTCTACCTTTTTTGTCAAGAGCAGAACATGTGTAGGTTTTACAAAATCCGTTTCTCACAGAAGCCGGAAAAAAACTTTTTTGCTAAAATCCCACAAAAGTGACAACAATGAAAACAGTATCAAATCTGATTCATAATGAAAGTTCATCTTCGACCAATTTCAGCTGTAACCTTATGTTTACATGCAGCCTTGCAAGAGTTCACGACAACAATTCCGCCACACAGGTGTGACGTAAATGGTAATCACTCAGACGAATCCGGGTCAGTTTCACCTAATGTATCTGACCCGGATTCATCGGACAAGTCGTGTTATGGCAAGAAGCGCTGTGAACTACTATGACTTGCACTGCAAGACCCATGTTCATTGTCGCTGGCCTTTTTTTTTCAAAAGATAGTCTCAGTAGCTCGACCCTCTCTTCAAGCTACCCTTAAACCTCACCCTACCCTTTAAACCGCTCCATGATCAGCAGCGTTTTCCCCCTCACCATTGCAACGCTCAAACAGAACTGATGCAACTCATGGTGTTGCGAGTACAGGTTCGTTGTCTGACTCACCCCATATCTATCAGCTTCTTATATGTTGATCTCTCATGCAGAGTTAGATTGCTGCCACATACGGTCTTAGATTGACAGGACACTGGTTTACAAGCCTGACACTGATTGACAAGCTCTGCCAGCCAGTTCCCAGCATGTGCCATTGAAAACCAACTGACATCCATAGAAATCACTAGCAGTTGATAATGATCAGTTAATATGAAGCTGTGGCTTGCTTTTAAAAGGGCCACTTGGAGAATAACCATGAGGCTCCAGTTATGAACAAGCCTACCATTATGCTTTCGCACTGTAGCTTGGCCCGAGTGGTCACGGGTCAGATCAAACGGGTTCAAAGACAGTGCTAAAAACCTTACACACATTGTCGATCATCGGGCCAAAGTCGATTCCCAGTGGTGGTACAATTCATTAAGGTGGCCTGATTATCCATTGTCTCAAAAAGATTATCCTGCAGTGTGTTGATTAATATTTACTCCCCGATCTGCTCAGGACATTTCTGTCTGTGTGTGTGTGTGTGTGTGTGTGTGTGTGTGTGTGTGTGTGTGTGTTCAACACTGAGCCATGGCATTTGCCTTCATTTCAATTGGGAAAGATTATGTGAGATACAAGTGTTTTGAGTTATCAGTGTGGTCACAGAACAAAACTTGTACGTACTTGGTTTCTGTACATGGCGGATTTTCAAATCACGGTTGAGTTTCGTTACGCCCCGCCCCGTGGTAAATGGGTGTACAATATAATGCAATTTGTTTTTAATGAGTCACTACTGGCTCAAAAGAATGGTCTAGCAAACTTCTTCCTCATTCACTTTTGTACAATTAGGGAATGAATACCTCTTATCCTCTCTGTGCTCATAGTAGTTGTAGCCCCTGCTCTCTTCGTACGGTCGCTTTCGGCCGTATTGTCCACTTCTCTCGGACTCCACCTTCATATGCTCTGCCAGACCGTCGTCATCTTGTCCGCGACTCGGCTCGGACTCATGGGCCTCGCGCCCTGCATCACCAGCCGCCTCTGGAGGGTCCTCAGTTTTGATCTCCTCTTTTATTTCTGTCAGGAGGGACAACGAACATTATTTTGTGAGGTTATTTCCAATAGAGACGGCATCAAAAATATATTAAGTGCAGAGTCATGGTTCATGAAAGCAGATTCAAATTTAAACTTTTCATCTATTCACCCAATAACTACCCTTTATACGACAAGCGCATCAAAGCACCAGAAGAAAGCAACAAATGGTGCCAATGAAGTATGTCGAAGTGATACATTACAACTGAGAAAATAACAGCATTTAAGTAATGGTAATGTCATAAGAGTTGGAAAATATGTTTTAAATGTTTTGGGATCAAAAATTTTGATGTGTATACAGTTTAAACTTTTAATATAAACCCTTTTTTAGGATGGATACTGTCAATTACTCCTTTTCACGACAGGAATTGACAGGGGATTGCTGTATTTGAACATAAATGCCTGTCATTACATGTCCTGAGGAAGTTTGAGTACTGTGCCCCAGTACTTGGGCTCCAACTATTAAGGCTGGACGATTAATCAAAATGTCATCTTGATTTCGATGTTGGCCTTTCGATCTGTAAAACGTTAAAATATAAAAAACAAACAAACAAACAATGTGCAGAGTGGCGGGGTGCGTTTACAAAGTTCCCAGCTTTGTGAAAATGCACTAAATAAACCACGTTGCTTGCATAAATAACTGTTTATATCATGTTGAACAGTATAATCGTGATTTGCACAAATCTTTTCTTTTGATGGCAATTATTTCTGTATTTTACATCACTGTCATTGTAACTGCAAGACAAAAAAAAAGCAGTGATTAATGTTTTTGTTGTTTTTCCTGAACAACAAATACCACTGTTATCCTGTTTTACATGAGCCATTCCCATCCATGGGCTATTTATTGAAGGAAAATATGATTTTGACTTTTCAGTTTACAGTAGAGGTCAGTTCCCACAAAAAAGAAATCCCAATACACGTTTGAAAGCATTGTAGTCTACCATTATACAGTGCTAACGCAGCAATTAAGTCACAGCACCTTCTTTGATGTCGACGCCTTCCTCTTCATCCGGTTCAAGCTTGACAACTGCCTCAGTGATGGTGGCTTTGGGAAGGTCAGCGTCTGTGCTGAAGTCTGGCACACTGTGGCCGGAGTCCGATGCTGGCTGACTCTCATACGGCTCGGATTCTACCTCCGGTTCAGCCTCCTCTTCTTCGTAGTAGCCACCTGAATCTCTCCCTTCGTCTTCCTCCAGCAGCGCATCGCCATCACCTTCAGCGAACGCCTCAGCTGTGAATGCCCACAGAGAAAAAGTCATTTGTTTTGCTCCACAGTAATTTGATATAGCCTTTGTTTGTTTATTTATTTTGAGTTTAAACCAAGATCAAACCATTTGCCTCTTTTTTCCATTCCGTATTGCTTACTTGCAGTCATTCTCCACTGACAAGATGGCAATTGAACAAATGTCCATGCGATGAAAATGAACGGCAGCCAAACATATTTCCAAGTGGCGCAAATAGTTTCTACGTGAACTACAGTTTTGGGGTAGACATTTTTGTGTCAACCAATTATTGTGAAACTCAGCAAAGTTGGCAGATTTTTCTGCAACCCTGCAATAAATGAATATTTATATTTATATGTAGACATTTGACCTCACATATATTCATTTCATAGCAACATTCGTTTTTTTCCTCCTGCTCGATGCCCTTTGGAAATAAAAGACTGTAGCGACTGCCACATACGACTTTATATTTTGTTTCCATCCGTTCATTTTCAACACTGCTTAGCCTCATGAGGTTAACGATATATTGGTTGAAAGAAAAATCGAAGAGCAAATGTGTGGTTCACCTTGCTCCGCTTCGGTTTCGCCAACGTCTTCGCCACCGTCTTCGCCAACGTCTTCGCCAACGTCTTCGCCACCGTCTTCGCCACCGTCTTCGTAGTCCTCCGCGCCGTCGTCGACCTGCTCCTCGTCCCCTCCGTCCGGTGATTCGGCGAGGGCTTCCTCCTCCAGCGCCGCCTTGAGCCGCTCCACCAGATCTGCCTTCAGGCCTCTGGCGTCCAGGCCTCGACGCTGGAGCTCGTCCTTCAGCTCGTTCACTTTCAGTTTCTTCACGTCGAAACTCATCGCGTGGCCTTGCGCGCGCGTGTGTGCAGGACAATGGCTGCCAAGAAAAAGCGCGGGGATGAGACACTGCAAAGTTTTCAGTGTTGCGTCAACTTACAAGGACGTTGCATTTGAGCGCCATCAACGGAGCGTTAGGCTAACATTAGCCATTGAGCTACATGTCTATAAATATCCAACATAAGTTACTCACCGGGGGTAACTCGACCTAGCAACGAATCGATTATCTTTACCAAACCAAACTGACTACTTACACACGTATATAAAATAATTCATTTGCCGTTTTCGAGATCGCGATCATCACCTTCGATATTACCTAGCTAGCTAGCTAGCTAGCTGAGCACACGGGCCAGTGCGATGCAGTGAGCACGAGTCGGAACGCCGCCGCTTGAATAGCGCCAGTCGGAGACGTGAATTAGCTTCGCATGCAACTTGAACACCCGAGGCGTCGTTCGCTTGAGGAACAACAAAAGTTAGACGGTGCGTTGTGGAATTCAAGTCGTGGCCTACCTCCTTCGACGCGGGTGTCGCTGGCAAATAGAAGCGTAGTTGCCGGCAAGAGCAACCACTGCCCTCTAGCGGCCCAGCCAGACAACGTGCCGGAAGTTGCGTTTGAACAATTTTCATTTCGTTTACTGTACTGTATATCTTATTTATATTTTTGATATTGATTAAAAACACCAACTACCAGAGAAGTGTACTTTGACAGCAAATAAAAATCTAGTAATTGGTTGCAGTGTCGTGAACGACAGCCCACATGCTTTAAAAGTTTTGTAAGACATATACAGTACTTAAACGAATACAGTACTGGGTAATGTCGTGTAAGAGGTTGCCCGCCAACAATTTTTATGGCCAAAATGTTATCCCCAATAATGCAGATGTGTATTTTTTTTCTCAGTCTTTGCTGCGCATGAACTGGTTTGTGGTGTAAAAGGTTGGATACATCCTGATTTATATAGTGCTTTCACAACAGCTGCAGCTGTAACAAAGCATTTAACCATATAAATGCAATGGTCTGACTCATGAATCCATTTGACATCAAGCCCAATCATTCAACCTCTAAATTATACAGTGGTACCTCTACTTACGAAATTAAGATGTTCTGAAAGAAATTTTTTAACTAGAAAATTTTGTAAGTAGAGACATGTTTTCCATGTTAATGCCCTAATCCGTTCCAAGCCCCCCAAAATTCAGACATAAATGTTTTATAAAGCATAAAAATGCATCGTGTTTTCCATGTTAATGCCTTAATCCGTTCCAAGCCCCCCAAAATTCAGACATAAATGTTTTATAAAGCATAAAAATGCATCAAAACATGAAACAAATACATGTTACAATTAGATTATTGCACAATAAATGAGAGTTGTGCAGAATGTAAAAAATAAAGAATAAAAATGATGGTTACCTTTTAACTACGTCCTCATCGTTTTTTGCCCTGTTTAGTTCATGTTCTCTCTCAGAAGTGGTTTTTGCCTGGCGTTTTGTAAAGAACTGATCCAAGGACGTTTGCTTTTGTCGGCTTTTAACAATCCTTCGAAAACGTCCAAGGCAAACATCATCATAGTGAGCGATCGCCCGACTGACGAACATGTTTTCTGGGTGATTCTTTTCAACAAATTCCGAAACATCATGGAATTTTCCTAGAATGTCTTTTATTCGGGCTGATGGAATGATGGCTGCCGCCTCCTCCTCCTTCTCTTTGAACTCCTGCACTGCTGTGTGTTGCATCGCCTCCAACTCCTTCAGCTCTGTCGTCGAAAGCTCCTCATTGTGCTCCTGAATCAACTCGTTGATGTCCTCTTCATTCACCTCAAGACCCATGCCCTTCCCCAGCAAAATAATTTCCCCAACTTCAGGCTCAACTTCACCCTCCCCTTCAAATCCCTCCATATCTCGTGGGGCAACAGCATCAGGCCACAGTTTTCTCCAAGCTGCATTCAGGTTATGCCTGGTCACCTCCTGCCAAGCCGTGTCGATCATCTTGAGGCAAACAACGATATTGAAGTGCTGCTTCCAAAACTCACGAAGGGTAAGCTGAGTGTTTTCAGTAATGTCGAAACACCTCTTGAACAGGTGTTTTGTGTAGAGTTTTTTGAAGTTTGAAATTAGTTCTTGGTCCATGGGCTGGAGGATAGAGGTAGTGTTAGGTGGGAGGTACAACACCTTAATAAACGAGAACTCCTCCAGGATATCATCTTCAAGGTCAGGTGGGTGGGCAGGGCCATTATCGAGAACGAGGAGGCACTTGAAGGGGAGATTCTTCTCTTCTAGATACCTCTTAACAGCAGGGCCAAAAACCAAATTCACCCACTCAACAAAAAAATGACGGGTGACCAAGGCTTTGGCATTGGCCCTCCATAGCACCTGGAGTCTTTCTTTTAATATTTTGTGAGCCTTGAATTCTCTGGGATTTTCGGAGTGGTACACCAGCAGGGGCTTGATTTTGTAATCCCCACTGGCATTGGCACAAAGGGCAAGCGTAAGGTGGTCCTTCATGGGCTTGTGGCCTGGCATTTTAATCTCTTCTGCTGTGATGAAGGTACGACGAGGCATCTTCTTCCAAAAAAGGCCCGTCTCGTCGCAGTTAAAAACTTGCTGAGCAACGTAGCCTTCATCAATCACCAATTGTTTGAATTTTTGCACGAATTCGTCGGCTGCCTTGTGGTCGGCGCTACTTGCCTCACCATGCCGAACAACAGAGTGAATTCCAGTCCTCCTTTTGAACTTCTCGAACCACCCAGGCGATGCCTTAAACTCCCGGTGTTCTTTCGCCGACGTTCCATCGCCTGCATCCTCCTTCACGAGGTCATTAAAAATGACAGTTGCCTTTTCGCAAATTATGGCCTTGGTCATCATGTCACCAGCCATCTCTTTCTCATTTATCCACACGAGTAACAACCTCTCCATCTCATCGTTCACTGCCGACCTCTTCTTCGAAATTACAGCAAGGCCTTTTGAAGGAGTTATAGCTTTTATGGCTTCCTTTTGCTTTAATAACGTGGCGATTGTAGATCGATTACGGCCGTATTCTTTGGCGAGATCACGCAAACGCATCCCCTTTTCATACTTTTCTATTATCTCTTGCTTTGTTTGTATGGTCAAACAAACTCTTTTCTTCTTTTCTTTTCCTCTTTTCTCCATCACTTTCTTGGGGTCCATAGTGAATACTGTAAAAGTTTACCTAAAACTATCGGAACACCGCATGGCCCGAGAGGCGAATGGAAAAGGACGCTGCATCGGCACAATCTCGCTACACAAACGGATACAGCCGGTAGAGGTCCCTCTTAGCCAATGGGATGCCAGGAAGATGCTCGGTAATAGCCAATGGCAGAGCAGCTACAGGTATGTTGCGTTCAGTAGGCTCTGGGAGCTGCGAGCAGCAGGCCATACTGTATTTTTACCTTCTTATCCTGAAATTTCTTTCGTAAAACGAGGCAATATTTTCCTGTTGAGGCACTTCGTAACTTCAACATTTCGTATGAAGAGACGTTCAACAAAAACCTGAAATAAAATACTTGGGAGAAAACAATATTTGTTTGTTTGGGGTTTTTTTTTTTGTTTTTGTTTGTTTGAAGCATCAAGAAAGACAAGTCACTGGGAAATCCAATATTTGTTTTGCTTGAGTGACACTAACAATTCACTGGTTTTCTCTGCAAAAAAAAAAAAACAAAACATTTTTTTGATGGCAAAATGTATTTATAGTACAAGCAAAATGATGCACAAGTGTTCACATTTGACAAAGACATATGACATTTTGATTTGTTACACTTATGTCTGTATTCTGTCACAGCTATTGCTCTTTTGTTTGTGTGTTTTCACATCTATACAGAATAGTTTTGCTTTGTGTGGTAAGCCGTAAACCACTCTCCTGGATGCAAGGCAACACAAGAGGACGCGCACCACATTCTGGTATCTTTGCGGAGGCCTCTGCAAGCGCACACCCTACACCTCCTTCCTGCTCGCTGCGCTCACTTATTCGAGTTTGTGTTTGCTGAGCTGGCCATCGAGCCTGCTTTCCGGGTCAGTTCTATAGGGTGCCCTTTTGAATCCCAAATTCCCACACCACTTGTAATTAAGGAACTTCCATATAATCTGAAATCGATTCCTTGACATGCTCCGGCAGAAATGGGGTGTTGCGTCAACCTCGTCCATACTCCTCCGGTAGTCCTCTTGAAACAAAAGAGCCTGGAAAAAACAAGTTTTGTGAAAAGAAACAAGCAAGACAGTGACTGGGATGCCAAATGCTTTTTTTTCTTGCTTTAGTGATACCTCAAAAGTTTGAAAAGTGGTTTCATAAAAGAAACAACAAATCAGAAGGAGCATTTGATGGCAAGATTTATTTACAAACATGAATGTCAACTTTTTGATATTTGACAAAAATATATAAACTTGAGTTGTCTATCGTAACGCATGTACTGTCACATCTATAGTGAAGCTGTGTTTTCACACTGATCCAGAATAGTTCTGCTTGGTGTGATAAGCTGTAAAACATTCTCCTGGATGGAGGGGAACACAACAAGAGACGCACCACATTCTGGTATCTCTGCGCAGGCCTCTGCGCGCACACACTCTACACCTCCTTCCTGGTGTCCTTGCTGGGTTTACGCTCTTGGCAGCTGGTTTCAGATATTCGAGTTTGTGTTTGCCAAGCTGTCCGTCAAGCCTGCTGTCCGGGTCAATTCTATGCGGGGCCCTTTTTGAACCCCGGCGGTCCTCCCAGTCCCCACAACTGTCAACCTTGGCGACCGCACGTTCCTCCTCCTCCTTTTTCACCTGCGCCAACACATTTCGCTTCACAGTCCAGGACTTGACTACGCTGCGCATGAACTCCAAGAGGGTTCTACACTCCTCTGGGTGCTTGGCATTGTATATGACATGAGCATTAAACATACATAGTTGAAACAGGTAGGCGACAAACTTCTTGGACCAGTTCAGTGACCTTCGGACGAAGGGGTAGTATGTAATGCTTTGGTCCAACTTATCCACTCCGTTCATAGAGGAGTTGTATGCAACAACACACTCTGGCTTCAATCTAGGACCCTTGTCTTTGTGTCCCTTCCACGACACTTCAACCTTCTGCATCCTGTCTTGGTGGCAAGTTGACACCAACCGTTTGCCCTGCCACGCTACTACCATTACCCTCTTATTATGCCGCACAAGCTTCTCCTCCACCCCCAATTCATTCTTTCTCACCGTCCTAAAGATCTGAGGTTCCCCCCTATTCTTCCTCAGTATTCCACAGACATTGGTTTCCGCTCCCAGTAAAAGCTCACACATTGCTACGGAATTGTAGGAATCGTCCATATACAGTGTATAACCGTGACCTGGGAGGCGATCAAGGAGAGAGAACACAATCTCCGATGTAGTACGAGCTTCCTTGACATCAGGCTGCATATTGAAACAATACCCACTGGCAGAGTCGCAAAGTATGTATGATTTGATTCCATATTTCACAGGTTTTTTGGGGTTGTACACTCTGAAGGACACGCGCCCCTTCCACTGCATCATACCCTCGTCAATGCAAATATTTTGCCCTGGTTGGTACAGCTCCTTGAACTTTTCCACAATGTAGTCCAGCACTGGGCGGACTTTGTACATTTTGTCACTGTCGTCCTGTGAGACATCGTTGTTGTAATGAAGGAACTTCCAAATAGTCTGGAATCTGTTCCTTGGCATGGTCTGGCCGAAATGGGGTGTTGCGTCAATCTCGTCCATACTCCAGTAGAGTGAAACGCTTGGTTTTTTGACATAACTGGTGAGAAAAGTGAGTCCAAAGAAGGTTTTCAGTTCTGCGACAGACACGGGTTTCCAGGCATGACTTCTGCTATATGGCAGACCTTCAGACTGGGACAGAAAACACTGAGTAGCATACAGGTTTGTCTGATCGGCAATGTGTTGGAGAAGCTCATCTGTGATAAAGAGCTCCAGGAAGTCAGCTGGCTGGTTTGAATCCAGCTCCGCGGCAGCACTCCGGGGCCCGGGTGTTGCAGTGAAGAAAAACTCATTTGGTTGCCAGCCAGCTTCATGCCAGCTACAATCTTCCTCATCCTTGCTACTCCACATAAGATCTATAAATTTTCCAAATTAAAAAAATTACCATCAAAATGTGGTTAATTTTGCAGTGTGTGGTGGAGGAAAAGAGTCGTTTTTTTATTTTTTATCTTACCTTTGTTCAAATTGTCAACAGGTGTGGAACTGGAATCACTTGGCGCATGACATGCAAAATACAGAAATATATACAATTAGCCAAAAATGAGATCCCTGTATTTTTATTGTGGCAACTGGATGTGGAGAAATACACTTTCATTTCTTAATTGAATTTACCTTTCCTCTGCAGAGTCCCAACTGGAGGGAGATCCTTGTAGAATGTACGATCTGTGAATGAAAAGTCCTTCACATCAGCACTGGTAACTAACATTATAGCATAGTATAAAAACTGGAGGGACTAAATTGCATTCATGTGGCATGGACTGAGAGAGGGCAGGAGTTTTGCCTTGATCACTAAAATCACATTAATTTCTCCCTCTTCGCTGTATCAAAGACATTGCCCGGTTATCCGTTTGATGGTATAATGCGGTTAAAAAAAAAAAAAATATATATATATATATTTATATTTTTTTCAACTGGTCCTTAGACAAATGGTACCTTGCACATATGGTAATGACGATAAACTTTTTCTTTTAAACAAAGGCCATAAAACTGCTAACAAATCTTTATTACAAATCAGTGTATCACACATCTGTACAACCCATAGAAAAATATTTATATATAAACACACACACACACACACACACACACACACACACACACACACACACACACACACACACA